TATATCGCGATATATATTGATACCGAATTATTGTCCAGCCCTATCCCATCATATTACTCCCATTATCATAAGACTGCCCACGGCAGTCTGCAATGCTCAAGTTTAACTTGCCCAATTTCTCCAGGAGTGTGTCACTTAGACCTTTTCCAGTGGTGTCTTCAACATCAATGAATCCAACAAAATGCTCAGTTATTGATGCACCAACTGATGGCTCGCAGTTCACCACTATCAAGACAACAGAGAGTTGCTCTGTGTGACTTTTGTCAGGAGTACAATCCATTATGATGGAAAAGTACTTAGCTTTTTTCACCCTTCTGACTATTTCTTCAAGTATTTGGTCTCCGACAAGAGCAATGATTTCATTTTGAATTGTGCCACTGAGGTAGTGCACTCTTGTTTCTTTGTTTTGAATTCGTCTCAGATGTTCAGTCATGACCGGATCAAACAGTGCCATCAACTCTACTAGTGAGAGGAAATTGCCATTCTGTGGGTCATACAATACATTTGTGTGCCCTCTTAAGGCTTGGTTTCTTTCAGCCATAATATGTCACTTGGACATCACTCTGCATATAACCCCTCGCCAGTGCTGCACCTCAAGATGCAAAAGATCTTGGTTGGTCTGGTTAATGGTTGTTTTACTTTTGAGCCTTTTCTGGAGTTCATGCCAACTCCTCATATTGGTAATGTGTATCTTTGAATACTCATGCTCGTTTAAATGACCAGTTAGGTTTTTCCAATTTCTAAACCCTTGTTTGGTAAGTGCATTATCCTGTTTCCCGAACAGTTTGCAAGCAAAACAAAACACAGAGTCTGTACTAAGAGAATATACAAGCCACGTCCTATGTATCATTTCACCATTTTTCATTACCATGTTGTAATTTTCTTTAGTGAATCTCCGTGGACCCTTCTCTGTATTTTGAGGGAAAACAATATGTTTTACCTGTATGGGTCCTCTTACGACTAGATCACATTTTTAACNAATTTTGTGTTTTACGTTATAAACATATTTATTCACCTAAAACTGGCTAATTATGGAGTGGATGGGGGAAAAAAGAACAATGCAATAGGAAAAAATCACATTTAATGACTGCTATTCAGCTTCAACTTCAAGTGCTGGGGTCCAGCAGAACATTTACTGATTTGGTAAAACATTTACCTGTAAACAACAAAAACACTAATTTTTCAAGAAACAAAGAACCTCATTCCACATTAGAATGAAGTCTTCTTTTTGTAAAATAAAAGTGCTTCACATTTAAAATCAACATAAAAAATGTATCAAATGAGTCAAATTAAGTTGTGCACACTTGCATAATGAACCGGAACCATGTTCATGTTTAATTCTACCAACTTTCACAGACATCACCATTGAAATACATGATTGTCAGCCTCTTTGTGTTCATCTCTGTAAGTGTTTCCCGCTTGTCTGTGAGTAGAGTCTTGTACTTACTAAAACTGCTCTCACAATCCACTGAACTGACAGGAAAGTAGATGTAAGGGACTGCCACTTCTGCAACCTTTGGGAATCTCGCACTCAGGCCTCTCCAGTATTCAGCAAGATCTAAATCAGGTGGGTAGGGCTCCCTGGACACACAATGTTGATAAGCAGTCCACTGTTCATACAACTCTGCTGATGGGTGTGCCAGTGGCTCCAGTTGTGTTTAAGCTTGAATCTGCTTTTCCATGGCTGGAGCCTGCCTGGGATCAAAGACCCTGACCAGCCTGTAGACCTCTTTGGCAGGGTGAGTGTCCCAATGCTTTGAAAATTTTGTGAATGCCAGATGGAACGCATCATGAAGCTGATCAAGTACCTTTCTTCTCTCTGCCATACACATCTTGCTCAGTAGCATGTCTGTTTCGGCACCAAAACCACATGTTTTTGCTGTTCCATTCACAAGGTAGAACCCAAGATCTTCCATTACATTGTGAACAGAAACTGCTGTGGGATGATGGGTTCCTTCCAGGACCGTCAGAGCTGTCATCAGTTTGGAGCATCCATCTGAGATGAAGGTCAGCTGGACAGTGAGGGCCTGCACCTTTTCTTCTTTTTCAAGCAGACTGAGGATGTTTGTAACTGCCTGGGATGATGAATTTTCTGCCAAGAAGAACTCTCTATATAGATGAACATGCTCTGCATGGTACTTAACTGCCTCAAACCAGGTATTCCACCTGGTACTCACTGCTTCAGGAGGAACCTTGGTCTGCAACCTATCTTTCAGAATGAGAAAGTTCACCCATCTTCTCTTCCTGGCTGGCTTTTTGAAGAAGGCTGATCGCATCCAAGTGACAAGAGATGACACGTCGGAGAAGTAGCTATAGTGTTGCCATGTTTCTCCCACTAAATTGATGACATGGCAAAGACATGTCACATGCCTGCTGTGTGGCATCACACCTCTCAGAACATCCTTGTATGCTTTAAGGCAGTAGGCTGCATTGTCTGTGACCACTGCCCAGACATCATTGAGATCCAGTTTGTTGTTGTGGAGGGAGCCTATTACTGCTTGGGCAAAGGTTGAGTAGTTGCATCGCTCCATGAAAATTACATCCACCAGAAAGTACTGGCCTTCAAAACCTGCACAAATAAGAGAAATAAGAAGAAACTTTTAGTTAACTTTATTTTAATTAGCATCAGAATAACAATGGGTAATCACCAGTAATCACCTAGTAATTATTCAGATTCAGTTCATTTTTACAAAAAATATTTCACAAGAAATATGCACATTTTTACGTATTGGCATAACTAATACGATTGCAATATTGTAATGCATGTAATTCGCATTGCATTCTAATAAGTATATTTTAATTTACTGGTGTGAATGTGGTCTACTTAATTCACTCACCAGTGACGATGTTCAGAACGCTGCAGTCTCTTGCATCCGTAGTTTCGTCAACAACGACTGATATTTTTTTTCCTTGAAGCTTCTGTCGCACAGCCTCCATATGCTGCTCGAACACACGGGGTAAGTGGATTTGACGGAGGCTGCTCTCGTGTTCTGGCAGCGCTCCTCCTTGTTTACAGTGCTTGACCAAAAACGGACGTAGCTTTTTCATTTTTTCTAAAGGAGTGTCTGACTCGGCACATAGAGCAACAAAATCTTCAATAAACTCACGTCTTGCTTCAGCTGATTTGTTTGCATGACCAAGACTTTGCTGGAGTGAGCGGCTCGCGCTAGTCTGCTTTTGTCTCTGTTTCTGATGTGAGTCTTTGACTGTAAGTGGTCATCACATGTGTTCTTGCGGGTCCAGTTTATCGTGTGCTGGCAAAACCTACAAAAGAGTTGTTCTCCCGATTCATAAAAATCGTTTGGGTATTGTTCTGCCCTAAACTTAGCACTAAGAATCGAATTCCGTAATTTTTTTGAGGACTTCGGTGTTTCAGCGAGCCTCTTCGCCATAGCTGACTTTTTCCCCCGTGTCTGTACGTTTGTGTGCGAGTCCCGCCTCAACAGGTAACACATACAGGGGGCTGCAGCGGGCAAAATTCATTAGAAATAATTGCGTTGCTTTGCCCACACACCGATAACGGAATCCATTTTATTTGTTGAATTCTGCGATTCCGTCCGCATTTTCC